TTCAGTGTCCTGTGAAAAAGCCCAACTGATAAAGCCCACTAGGGGCTGGGTTTATTCACTCTTTTCCCCACAGGAGACTGCATGCCCTCCAGAGAAGCACCAGTGACTTGCCCCACAAAGGGAGGTCTGGGACTGGGCAAGGGGACACTCATGTAAAATCTCCATGGGCCGGTGTGTCTCAGGCTCTGAGGAGCAGGGCTGAGGGGGAATGGTGTCAGCAGCTTAGGCTGAAGGGAGCACTCGGGGTCGCGTTGTGGACCTGAACAGACCTGAACCCCTTCCCCTACCATTAAAAATTAACTGACTAGCTTTTTTGCTTCTGTAATTAGCTTGTGCAAAGTTTTACAAGCCCCGGTGGGTGGGACTTTCTGGTAAGGGCAGATAAAGGACTTTCCAAACCACCCAAAGTTCACCCAGTTCTGGGAAGGGCCTAACCACACAAGGAGTGGGCTGTTGGGCAATTCCCCAGTTCCTCATCTGTACACCACCCCACTGAAAGCCACCAGTGAATTTAAAAGTCACCTCAGGTAACCAATAAGCTGTATACAACTCATCCTGTTGCCAAAGTCTGCCTACCAAACTGTATAAAAAGTGCTTGTGTTAAGAGCTCGGGGCCGCTTCTGTCCTGAGAAGGGAGTGACCCCAGCATGCTGGAATAAACTCCTCTTGCTTGATTGCATCGATCTCTGTCTCTTGGTCTCTGTGAGATGTGCCGTCTTGGCCAGTAGGACTTACACTATTGGTGTAGTCTTACATTTTGGGGGCTCATCTGGGATCAGGCCTTCTCTGAGACTAGAGACTAGAGAACAGAGAATCACTTGAGCAGGTACCATGGTTGTCTGTCTGTCTGTGTCTGTCTTTGTTGTCTGCTGTAAGTTGTCTGTTATAGTCTGGTGTCAGTGGCTCTGGGATGGAGTCATTGGTCTGGTGTCAGTGGCTCTGGGACAGAGTCATCGGTATGGTTTCAGTGGCTCCAGGATGGAGTAATCAGTCTGGTTTTGGTATTTCTGAGGCTCTGAGATGGAGTCACCAGTCTGTGGTGGTCCATAGCAGCGGGTAGATGTACTGGAATGCCGCGGCCACAGGAATCCTGGAGGACGCTTCAGATTCCTATGTTGGAGATGAATGGGTTCAGCTCCATGGGAGATCTCTAGGGAGGAGACCCCTCCAGAGTTCTCTGATAATCATGTTGTGGCACCTGTGGCAGGGGCATGTTAGTGTTTTGGTTTTTGTTTGTCCAGTTGCATGTGTGTTGGGACTGACGATTTTTTGGGGTGACATGGGGCAGACTGTCTCGACCCCTTTAAATCTGACTCTGAAATACTGGACTGACGCGAAGGCCAGGGCTCATAATCTGTCTGTACAGGTTAAAAACGATAAGTGGGTAAGACTGTTCTTCAGAGTGGCCGACTTACCAACTCGGGTGGCCCGCTGAAGTCCCCTTCTCTCCGCCGCTGATCACGGTGGTAAAGAGAAAAATTTTTGGTTTCAACTCTAGAAGTCACCCAGACCAGGTCCCTTATATCATGTCTGGGAAGATCTGGTCACGGACCCTCCTCCGTGGGTCTGTCCCTTTGTTGCCCTAACGGGTCCAACGACTGTGTTTGCTCTTCAAGAGATGAAAAAGAAACCGGAGATCCTACCTTCCACTGAGTCGGACTTACTTCTCTTAGACCCTCCTCCTCCTTACCCTCCCTCCCTCTGCCCACAGGCAGCCCGCCTGTCAGCTCCGCCGGAGGACCCACAAGGAGGAAGGGAGGGACCTGTGCAGGGGATGCATAGTAGGCGAGCAGCCCCTCTGGAGGCTGTTCCCACTGTCCCTCTGCAGGCTTATGGCCCTCCTGATGAAGAGGGCAACCAGCCCTTACAGTACTGGCCTTTCTCCTCTTCTGATCTTTATAATTGGAAATCTCAGAATCCCCCTTTCTCTGAAAACACCCAGGGTCTCACTAACCTTGTAGAATCTCTCCTCTTTACTCATCAGCCCACCTGAGATGACTGCCAGCAGCTCCTCCAGTTCCTGTTCACTACTGAGGAGAAACAATGAATCCTCCTGGAGGCTCAAAAGAACATTCCAGGAGACGATGGGTGACCTACCCTCCTCCCTGATGTTATAGATGCAGGATTCCCATTGATCAGACCAAACTGGGATTTCAACTCTGCAGAAGGTAGGGAGCACCTGAAGGTCTATCGCCAGGCTCTAATGACAGGTCTCTGAAGGGCAGCAAAACACCCAGCCAATTTGGCTAAGGTACGAGAGGTAATCCAGGGGCCCACTGAGTCTCCATCAGCATTTCTGGAGAGACTCATGGAGGCATTCCGTCAGTTTACCCCATATGACCCTCTTAAATAAAAAATTGTGGGTAGAAGGGGCTACAGGGAGCAGACAATACCCACGGACTACCCGAAGAATGGTGGACCTAGGCGTGGGCCAGGTATCCCACTCGTTCATGGTCATTCCTGAGTGCCCCTACCCACTGCTGGGAAGAGACCTCCTCACCAAAATAGGTGCTCAAATTCATTTTGACCCCGAGGGACCTCAGGTGTTAAATCGACAAGGAAAGCCCCTCCAGGTATTAACTCTCAGGCTGGAAGATGAATATCAATTGTTTGAGAGACAAGGGCAGGAGACTGGACAGATGGACTGGTGGTTAGAAAACTACCCCCAGGCGTGGGCAGAAACTGCAGGGGTAGGGAAGGCTAAACACCAGCCCCCCGTCCACATAGAGCTGAAGGCTCAGGCCAGCCCTATAGCTGTCTGACAATACCCAAGGTCCCAAGAGGCACACGAAGGCATCCGAGCCCACATTGCCCATTTGCCACAGCTGGGGATCCTACGGAAGTGCCAATCAGCCTGGAACACGCCCTTGCTACCGGTCCGAAAACCTGGGGCTAATGACTACCGACCAGTCCAGGACCTCTGAGAGGTAAACAAACGTGTGACTGACCTCCACTCCACAGCTCCTGACCCCTATAATCTTTTAAGCTCTTTACCCCCAGACAGGACCTGGTACTCGGTACTGGATCTCAAAGATGCATTCTTCTGCTTACTGCTGGCTGTAAAAAGTCAAGATTACTTCACCTTCGAGTGGAAAGATCCAGAGACTGGCCTAGCAGGGCAACCCACGTGGACCCACCTGCCTCAAGGGTTCAAGAATTTGCCCACCATCTTTTACGAGGCCCTCCACCAGGACTTGGCTGTGTTCCTGGCCTCTAACCCCCAGGTAACTCTGTTGCAGTATGTGGATGATCTCCTCCTGGCAGTGGCCGACGAGGAACTGTGTCTGGAAGGAACAAAGCATCTCCTCACAGAGTTGGGAGAACTGGGCTATCGAGCCTCTGCCAAAAAGGCTCAGATCTGCAAGCGACAGGTCAGTTACCTGGGGTACCTTCTTAAAAACGGGAAGAGATGGTTATCTGAGGCCAGAAAAGAGACAGTATTCCACATCCCGCCATCCGCTAACCCAAGACAAGTCAAGGAATTTTTAGGCACTGCCAGGTTCTGCTGCCTGTGGATACCTGGTTTTGCTGAGATGGCAGCCCCGTTATATCCCCTCACTAAGAACAGTCAGCCCTTCAAGTGGGGAAAGGAAGAACAGGCTTTTAACAACATCAAGACGGCCTTGATGTCCGCACTGGCTCTGGGTCTCCCCGACGTAACCAAGCCCTTCCACCTGTATGTGGCAGAAAATAAGGGGGTTGCAAAGGGGGTCCTAACTCAAAAACTGGGCCCCTGGAAAAGGCCTGTAGCATATCTGTCCAAAAAACTAGACCCAGTAGCCTCGGGGTGGCCGGCTTGTCTAAGGATCATAGTGGCAGTCGCAGTTCTGGTAAAAGATGCTGACAAGTTGACTATGGGACAGAGTTTAGCAATCTCAGAACCTCATGCCTTAGAGAGTATTGTCCGCCAGCCCCCCAACCGCTGGCTCACAAATGCTCACATGACTCACTATCAGACTCTGTTACTGAACTCAGACCAAGTTACTTTCGCTCCCCCGGTGAGCTTAAATCCAGCCACGTTGCTCCCAGACCCGGACCTTGACCCTCCTATCCATGACTGCCAACAAGTGCTTGCCGAGGCACATGGATGGTGGAAAGACTTGTCAGATCAGCCTCTGACGGATGCTGAAGCCACCTGGTTTACGGACGGCAGCAGTTTCCTGGAGGAAGGAGAACGGAAGGCAGGAGCCGCTATAGTAGATGGCCAGAACCTGATATGGGCACCGGCCTTACCTGCAGGAACGTCTGCCCAGAAGGCAGAACTCATCGCCCTCACGAAAGCCCTTGAACTAGGAGAGGGCAAAAGAATTAACATCCATACGGACAGCAGGTATGCCTTTGCCACTGCCCATGTGTACGGTGCTATTTGTCAACAATGGGGTCTGCTGACCTCTGGAGGGAAAGAAATCAAAAACAAGGCAGAGATCGTAGCCCTGCTGGAGGCCCTTCACCAACCGCTAAAAGTGATTATTATACACTGCCCGGGTCACCAGAAAGGGGATTCCCCCATTGCCAGGGGAAACAACTTGGCCGATTCTGAAGCAAAGGCGGCAGCCCACAGGTCCACTTCTCTTCTGCTAGTTAACATCCCAAAGCTAGAGGAGCCCAAGTTTAAGTACTCTGCTGAGGACGTAGCAGAGATCTCAAGGGACTCTAATAACTACTTCAATCAGGAAAAAGGACGCTGGCATGCAGTGTCAGGCAAGCCTATCTTGCCACAAGAACAAGCACACGCCATGATTAAA